TAAACGCTATTATATTCGGACCAATCGCGTACGGGTTCTTTGAAAGACAATGGCGGGAAATGCGCGTGAAAAAATTCAGACCGCGACGGTAAATTCGCGGCGAACGGCCGCGAATTCCAATTAGCGTTGTTGCTGTCTTAGAACCGACAATTATCTCTCGGCTCTAACCGGCTTGACTCGTCTTTTTTCTCCCCCCCCTCCCCCTCCGCCCCTCCAAACGAATCGCTCTTTCATCCGCGATAAACGTGACGTTTTAATTATTTTCTTTTTCAAAGAGAGTTCACAAATATATATATATATATATACACACACACATACACTATACGTACGAAACGTCGAAGAAGTTACGACAATTGTCTTCCTGTTTATTTTTATATATCTCTTCGCTAAGCCGTAAATCGATGATAAAACGACAATTTTCTTTCTCGTCTAGTATAAATTAGTTCAAAAGAGAAAGATAGAGAGAGAGAGAGAGAGAGAGAGAGAGGAGAAAAAAAAGAAAAAAAAGATGCCGAATAATCTGGCTGATATAAAAATGTTTCTCAATCGGTAATAATTATATCACATATTATTTCTCTTATTATTCTTTCATTTCGTTATTTTCTCAGTCAACAGAATCGTGAATTAAAAAATGATGAGTCTAATACACCTTGCAAAGAACTACGTGTTCTTGTTGCTGTCATAATTCCTGGCCTTGTTATTATTACCGTAATATTGTCTAAGGCTAATGGACGTCTAAGAAAAGATTCTTCTCCCTCGCGTGTTTGCCCTGACGCATAAAACGCGGCCGCGAGACGTAAATCAAATAGTTAGGAACGTGTGTGTGTGTGCGTGCGATGCGAGGCACGTTGTCCGACTATTATTCGAAGATCCAATCCTCGGGGAAGTAGTATTCCATTCTGGAAAAAGTACGGGGAAAAAAAAACGTCGTGTTATTTATTTTTGCCAACTATCAATGCTCGATAAATTAGATCTGCTGGTAGTTAAGGAGAACGAACGTACGATTCTCGTCGTCGTTCTTGTTTACGAAAAATTGTTGAAAATAAATGGCGTGGGCGTAACTGGGGAAGAGAGAAAGAATGACACACGATGATGGAAAAATATAGAAAATATTCTTCTCCGGGAATATCTATTTTGAAAAATGTCACGTCCAGTCGGTTTGACTCGACAAATGGAAAAGACTAGAAAGAGTCAAAGTAGAAGGAAGATCGAGAACCATAAAACAAGAGAGAAGAATTACAGGGCAAGACAGTGTATGAAGGATGAGGCGGAGAAAAGGGGAGGAAAATAAGAATAAGAAGAAGAAGCAGAGAAGCAGAAGAAGAAGAAGAAGTGATGCGAGAGTAGACGAGATCTTTCCATCTCTATCTCTCTCCTTTTCGTAATCTCCGGGCCTAGAAGCTTTATTTATACCCAAAGCTGGCGTATTATTGGATCACCCCCGCGATTCGTACCGACGTAAATGTGTCTTATGCTTACGGCTTACGTCGTCGTGGCCTTTCTATTTCGCGTTTGCCCAATTTCCATTTTCTTCCCCTGTTATACAGGGTGTTCCGAAATTAAACGCATTTAAAGAATCAACTTGATTTATAATCATCCTTAAATCGTTGAAATTATTCAAACGAATAAAATGTATCGAATTTTTGAATCGTTAAGCAGGCCCCACGCGCGAAGTTTCAGAAATTTTTTACTTTCCAGGAGGTCCTAGAACGCTCGAACGATTTGTAAGATAAACCCCGAGGGTCGAGGAGTTAGAAAATTGGGGTCAAAACGGTTAGCAATCGTCGTCTTAGTTGTCGTCTGAGTCGAGTGCAATATTTATGGGACTGCGAAGGAATCCGGTCTCTTCCGGAACTCCTTAACACTTTAACGCCAGGCTTGAGGATTTCGCTCTTTCTATTTCTCTCTCTCTCTCTCTCTCTCTCGTTGATTTATCTCCCACCGACCATCTCCTCCACCACCACCACCATCACCATCACTATCACCACCCTATCCCCCTTTCGTAAAGCAAAAACACGCGCGAGAAAACGAAGGCTCGTAAAATGTCGCGTGACAAGTTTCGGAAACTATTCAGACCTGATCGTCGTTTTTATATCTTTCAAAAAATGCTTCGAATTTTTTTTTCTCGCCTTAGTCTCGAGAAAGAGAGAGAAAGAGAGAAAGAGAGGATCGGGAAAAATGGCGTTGGCGGTTGTGGTGTTTAAAACGACGACGGAGGTGGCGAAGGTGGTGTACAATGCGCTTGGGGGGATTCACTTGGTAGGAATGCGCCGCGTAAATTTGCATTCTATGCATTGCGTAGATACTTATGGAGCGCGGCACGCGTGTCTTCGAAGTATCTTCGAGTATCTTTGAATTCTCTCCTGCATAAGAATCCATTGGCACCGATCTAAAACAACCATTAAACTTTTCTCGAAATCAATTCGATTATATCTAGCGCAAAAATTTCATCAAAATATATATATTCAATATTTCAATAATATTTTTCTCCTATTTCTGTGAATATATTTATCGTTTAATTTGAAAAATTTGCGCACATTAATATTTATATCTTTCCTACTAGACTGAAATCTTCGAAATATGCGAAACATCGTAAGAATTTGAAAAACGTCGGACCACCGTGTTGTTTCCTTTAAAAGATCGCGAGCTATGACTCCGAAGTATCACGAGGTACACACGAAACAACTATGCGAATTGTACAAGTATTGTATGCCACGCATGGTTAGCAGAATCGCATAACGTCCCGTCTTTCTCTTCCATTGTTTTGATTTTCTCATTATACAGGCAATTTCTTTCTGCGAAAAATAAACATAAATAAATACTGAGAGAATTTTTGACAATCGAAAAAAGAAGCGTAAGAATAAAGTTAACTCAGTCAATCAGATTTCGCGTGAGAAAACATTGTCAATGTGGTTATACGTTACTCGCATACATTGAAAACTATTATTTGGATAAACAAATCCGCGATTATACGATCTTTTTGAAAGAATAAGAAAAAGAGGTGATTAGTGCTACGAGGACATTTATAATCTAAAATCGTAGTTGGTATTCGAGGAGCGCACTGATTGGTATCTCTAATGTTAGAAAGTCGTAAGTTAAGTTGCCACCAGGTAGGTAGGAGAAGAATCGTGCACGTGCATAGTTGCGCACGTGCGGCTTTTGCGCGAGAAGGATCGACTGGGCATTCGGTCCTACGCATTTCTTAGTAGCTCGTGCCGCTCTGGTCGTTAGCATCTGTCTTTTCTGAACCACAGCGCATCTTACTCCCTCCTTCTCTTCCTCCTACACCTCCTCAATCTCCTCTTCCTCCTTCTCTTCCTCTCTTAACACATCAACTACATAAAGATATACTTATACACGTTGGTTTTGTATTTGTCAAGCTGTATCAAATATCCCTACACTTACGTGTCGCTAAATATTTATCGAGTCTCTTAACGTTTGGCGAATTTTTAATAAGCCCGGCACGTCGGGAGCACTGGCGCTAATGAACGCTGAATATTCTATACGTCGAGGAACCTTCCTCTTGCCGCGATTTCTAGGATCGATAAAGTGAATGTCGATTTAAGCGGCTCGTTAAGAGATAAAGTAATCTATTCGTTAGAATCATCAAGAAATCAATCGTGAACAATCAATCTCGATGAAAAATCTTTTAAAGGTCTCTCTATCTCTCTCTCTCTCTCTCTCTCTCTCTCTCTCTCTCTCTCTCTCTCTCTCTCTCTCTCTTTCTCTTTCGCACGCAATCCTGACTCAATGCAACGCAGAATGGGTATTTGTTCTCTCAAGTTTCGTTGGATTTAACGACAAGGACTTTCAAGCACATTCCTTTAAACGCAAGGACCTACTATGCGGATACACGTACGTATGCGCATACATAGGTGCCTGGCTAGAGGTAGGGCTAAGGGATAAGGTATATAACACAGAGGAAGCAATCAGAAAGAAAGAAAGAGAGAGAGAGATTTTCTCTTAGTTCTCCGCAGCTGCTTCTTCTTCTTCTTCTTCTTCCTCCTCCTCTTTCTTCTCATCCGCTTTGCAAAGAAGAAGAAGAAGAAGAAGAAGAAGAAGAAGAGAGTTAAAGCAAGCAAGCAAGCAACGTTTCGCTTTGGATTTGTGCGCGGTGCTGCTTTGAATTCAGATTGCGCGCGGTCGTTCGCTGCCGGCGCGCCGGTTTTGTTTCTCCTTCTCCCCCTATCTCCCCTGCCCACCCCACAACCTCCTCCTCCACCACTACCACCTTCTCCTCTTCACTCTTCCCCTCTTCCACCCGTTACGAAGCGAAGCAATTTATGCAATCTGGCCCGCGTCGTCCGCAAGTATTTATAACTCTGGGCCCTTTGTGTGTTAATTTGTACCTGGCTTCGCGATCCGCCGGATGAAAGATACCCAACCGCGAGGACTCCCTCTCGACCTTTGATCCTTCCAAGGACCTCGTAAGACTTTCCCATCCGTGACTTCTGATCAGGAAGGAACTCTCCTTTAATTAAACGGACCAAATACCATCTTTCTCTCTCTCTCTCTCTCTCTCTCTCTTCCACCCTCTTTCTCTCTTTATTTATTTCTTTCTTTCTTTGCGAAGCCTTACTCTCTCTCTCTCTCTCTCTCTTTTTATATACAAGAATCTTTCCCCCTTTTTTCGCGATATTTACTAAAGTTCATTTCTTTCGTGTTATATACTCACTTAATGATGCTCCAAGAAATAAAAAAAACACCGTAACGGAGAACCCCGTGTGTCTAATCGTTAAAAAGAGAATCAACGATCGACTTTGATCTTTCGAGATTTTTTTATAGCCAACGCCAGGGAGACTCGAAGTTTCGTCGAGGCTGTTCAAGAATCGTTGAAAGGTCTCTTCTTTATTCTGAAACTCGGCTCGTCCTTTCGTGCGAATAATACGCATTTAAAAAAGGAAAACTAAATAATATAATATAATATAAGAAAAGAAAAGGAAAGTATCTAAATCGCATCGCCCTTTATTCATTTCTCTTTTTCTTTTTTCTCGTTGCAGCGTTGAAGGTGAAGCTCATGCTGAGGCGGCCGATAAATCAACTGGTTGCCCAGGGCATTATGCCGTGTAAGTATGATTTTCTCGAACCTTTAGAGTTCATAAAATCCCAAGGTGTTCGTAACGTAAAGCAAGATATGCAATTTGCCTCGAACTTGCAATCACCGAACGAAGGAACGAACGAACGAACGAACATACGAACCAACGAATCTTTTCAACGATGCCGTATTCCAGCTAACCAACAACGAATTCTTTCCTTCCCCATTCTTCTTTTCTTACTAAGCTTAAGTGAACTATTACCTTTTTTTATCTTCAAGATCGATTAATCCATTTAGGAGAGTCGATAACCACACGATTGCCCGTGATCGTTTTAATGACGTAAAATTAGATAACAGGGTCGCACGTACGAGTTTTAAAGTATCCTAAATTGTCGCACGATCTTTCAATTGTGTCGAACAAATGAGACTACCCGTATTTCTTCTTAGAATTGCCTTATTAGGTAAGAATCGATAAAAATATAACAATAATGTGATAAAACTGTAAGAAATAGATAAATATAAAAAATTGTTGTGTACTTTTAAAAGCATCATCGAGTGCGCGTGCATGCATGCATGCATGCATCTAGTTGTTCGAGTAGATTTACGAGGTGACTTCGAATGTTTATACCGAAACGGCGGGCACACGAGAGGGATCCGGTAATTATTTGGGTCACAACCTGAAATATCGGTCTTGTTACTGTCCAAAGCGGTACCCGTTTATGACACTCGCCACGTATATATCGCCACGACTGATGGAAATACACCCTCGGAGATAGGTTTCATACGAGTTACATTATGGAGGCGTATCCTCCTAAGCTCTTGCTCGCATCCCTCTGTGTTCATTCATTTTGCAAACGGTGAGACTTTAAGGCGCCATTATACTCTTCCGGCGTGCCGGCGCCACGAAATAATGCGCTGTCTTCGCGGAAATACGGTCTTTTTAACGAGCCGAGCAAGCTAAAGAGCCTCTGCATTTTTTATTCCCAACACAGGCCCGGATGCGATATCCCGTGAGAGACTTTACGAAGAACGAAAAATTCAAAAATATCTTTTTAACGCGTCGTATACATCGTCCGAATACCCCCCATAGGAATTCACTAATAACCAGCGCTACCTATGAACTCCAAAAATTCACGACTCTACGAAACTAAGATATGAACCGTCGTTAGTGTATTTTCTTTTTCAAAGCATCAATCATTACCTGATAATCTTCAGCAGGTATCTTTCTTTTTTTTTTGTTTATCAAATACTGTCGTATTCCGTGTTTGGACAGTTGGAACAATCTGATATTTATTGTTTTGCTTTGACAATTTTATTTAATGGCATATTCAAGGACAATGCACTTTAATTCGTAATAAAAATTCGTGATGTCGTCGACACCAAAATTCAAAGTTGCTACCCGGACGCGATCGGAAAGCGAAAAATTGGTAAAAATAGCTTTAGCAATTAGAATTTTTCTCGTTCATCGCTTGAAAGTGGCTAACGAGACGAGAAACGATGCTCCTCGACATGGTGCATACAGCTGTGGTACCGCGACAAGCACGACGCGAAGCAACGGAAGGAACACACATTTCCATTACCACATCATGCGACTTCGTAGGTGGTACAGTCTCTTTTATTCCTCGTAATGAAGTGGCTGCATCTGCATCGGCTGTACGGAAATAGTATTACGCTTGAGTTCGCGCCTACAGGAACGCGTTTCGGGGATCATTTATCCAGCGACTTAATGGCGCGAAGGAATGCGAGAAGACGTTTGACGTTGACACCAAAATGGCTTCGTGTTGAAGCGCTGCTTGAATCTCGTCGTCCCGGAAATTCAACCGTGCTCGTTCTTCCTCTCCTCCCCCCTTCCACCTTCTACCTCTTTCACGCATATGCATACTCGAACATGCCTAAAGTTTCGTTATCCTTGCGTACAGCTCTGAAAACTCCGCCGGCGTTTCACGAACAGAGGAAGCAACTCGAGCGAGCGAAAACTGGTGATCTGTTAAAGGCAAAGATCCAACAGAGACCCGGTAGGGAAGAGCTCGTGAGACAGCATATCCTTGAAGATGTGGGTCACGTTGATCCGAGCCTAGCCGAGAGGCAACGTATGCTGAAGAAGGCCAGACTAGCCGATCAATTGAACGATCAACTCAGTCATCGGCCTGGCCCGCTCGAACTTATTCAAAAGAATATTCTCCATACGGAGGAACCCATCGAAAGGGCGGTAAAAGGTAAGTAAAAAAGATTTGGTCTCTGATTAATTTTTTAGTCAATAAAAAGGAATAACATTTGTCGATTATCTTTCAGAGGGACATATTCCCTTCAAGGCGACGTGCGAAGGACAAGTAACGAAACCCCAACATCCGGATCATTACATCACATTCGAGGATGATTCCCAAAGTTCGGAAGGTGCACCGTCGCCTCAATTGGAGTCCCGTTCTGACGTTTTGGAAACTGCAGCGGCCTCCGCAGGAATCGTTACAGTGTCCCTCAGCATCCCTACAACCGGTGGCGCGGTCGTTGTCTCCTCGACGTCACCAGTTTTTCAACAAGCATCCGGAACGGAACCAACGATACAAACCTTTGCGGAGCTATGCAATACGGTCGTTGGCTCGCAACACCAGACGCAACAAGCTCAACACCACCCGTCCGCTCAGGTAAAAGAGAATTTTAGAGTACGCCTATGAAAGATTAAACAAAGCTAACTATATGTTTCCTTGTTTTTCTCATTAGGCGAATCAAACGAACGGAGCATCGGGCACGTTACTCCCATTGGCGCCGGCATCGAGTCCCATGTCCTTGGGATCGACCACTTCGAGTCTGAGTCCCCTGTCGAATATCTCGATAGCCTCGCCACCGGCTCCACCACCAGCAGCCATAACTCCTAGACCACAACCGAGTCCGATAGCCTCTTCGGCGTGTCAAAGAAACGATGCACCGGGCAAGGACAAAAACCGAAAAAAATCAAAGACCAAGAGCCAACCTAAGACGCGTACGATCAAGTTTCACGAGTACAAAGTGAGTAATAAAGGCGCACTCTTATCGACTCCTCCTACCGATTCGAATTTAAGCGAATTGCAATCCTATCGGAGTAACGAGCGACGAACGGTAAACCAGCGCGTCGCGCTTTTTTATCGACGAGCTCGTCGTTTGGAACAGATTACCTTCCCCGTCCTGTATATTTCTCTTTCATCTTCCACTCTCGTCGTTTATATTTAAATATACCTACGTATCGCATGTATATTATGCATGTAATATAAGTATATGTACCGAGTTTGGTCGGGAAACGTGCTTTATAGCCGATATATGTGTATATATCGCGCGTATGAAGGAGACGCGCGCGATAATTACCAAGTATCCCAAAAAGATCGTTGCGTGTGCTACTACAAACTAGTTTTCGGCTAACGGGGAATTGCGTTTCGCCGTGGCAACGAGTGAGAAAAAAAGGCCCACGTAAAAGGAAAGAAAAAAGCAAAGGGAGCAGAGCTGAACAAGAAGAAGAAGAAGAAAAAGATCGAGAAGAGAGGAGTCGGGGTAGAAACGAGTACAGACGCAACCGTGAATCTCGGCTCCTGTGGTCAAGCAAAAGAAAAAGGAGAAGGATGAAGAGGAGGACCAAAAGAGAGAGATCGTATCGGGTGATTAACTCTCGCGATCTCTCTCGAGGGGCCCCTGGGCCAACCTCGTTATCTCTGAGTAATTCGAGTGCTAATTGCACCTATGAGCGAGAGAGAAAAGGTCTTACATCCATCGATAGGTGCCGCGAGGGCCCCGCTTTTATTCGGCCCTCTGGTCTCTCTTTGCTTCGTGCCCCGCCGTATTCCATCGTGGTCCATCGTGAAAGCGCGCTCGCGTCAAAAATGATACGGGTGGTGTGCAAATGAGATCGCGGAGAAAGAAGGTCTCTCGATATCTATCATTTATCATTCGTAAACGAAACGTGCCTACGTCACCGAATCTTTCGTTTCCTAACGCATCAAGATAAAATTAATTTTTTTCATTGGACTTCTTTTGCAAGTTCACTTTTACGTCTTAGTATTACTGTTCCAAACGCGTTCTCGGTCGATGGCCTGTGTAGGAAAAATATAACAAAAATTAACAAAGATTAACCACGACTAATGAGCTATGCGATAATATTGTGTGGCAGGGTCCGCCAAACGCACAAAAGACGTCAGTTTCGTCTACACCCTCCGGTCTCGGCTCGGCGCCACCCGGCGAGACGAGCTATGAGTTGCTCCTGCAGCAACAACAACTATTCCTTCAGTGGCAGCTCGAATGGCAGCACAAGGTACACACATACCGAATCGATACTACACGCGATAATGATGTCCGTTACTGACATGCATGAGCTAGACCGCTTACTTACACGTTACACGCTTTCTCGTTGAGAAAAAAAATCGATATAAAGAAGCAAATCACAAATCAATTATTTAAAAAAAAACTAATGTATGGATGATAATATGTTTTTCCGTAGTATCCTCAGATTATATTACCAGCCGCGCAGAAACCGCTGTCTCTTACCAGCAGCGGTGCTAGCGATGCCGGAAGCATTAGCGGAAGTAGCGCGAACGCTCCGAGTCCTGCGCCATCGAATTCCTCAAACAATCCATCAGAGCAACCTCCGCTCAGGCCTCTGGGCAAGTTGGAAGATATGAAAGGTAATTACTTGAAAACATTTCCCTCCAAAAACTTATCTATCTTTACGTTGCCATTTTTTTTTTTTTTTTTAATTAATTTTTCAGTGAGCGATCTCAAAGTCGAGTTGAAACGACGCAATTTGCCGGTGTCGGGTTCGAAGCCACAACTGATCGAACGGCTAAAACCGTTCACGGAATCTTCCAGCGGGAATACGAACTCCAATGGACCACACGTCACGCACATGGGTCACATCTTAATGGACACGCCCGGTCCTTTGACGTCCGACGAATCGAGTTCACATGCGAAGAGCCCTAGTTCGATCGTCAAGGACGAACCGAATAGCCCGCGGACAGATTCACCTCATGGCAGCGAACACGACGATCCGTCGAGCCCACCAGGTATGCGTATGCTTATTCATGCATACATTTACGTATCGCTATTAACTTCTCTCGACGAGACAAAGATTTATCTTTCTTCGTGCGTTTAGCTGTTAGTGCAACTTTCGAGCGAGATCGTCCCAGCTTTGAAAGACGACACACGTGGGTGTTTTTACGATGTAGTTCGTGTTTCAGGAGACGATATCATCAAAGAACAAAGAAAACGGATAGAAGAGTTGCAAAGGGAGTTGTATAAATCCCAACAACAACTTCAACAAATTCGACAAACTCAGCCCGCAACTGTCCGCGCCGAGAAGCTGGTGCTTCAACAACATATACAGAGCAAGATGCAACAGCAACAATTAGCTTTACATTTACAACAGTTACAACACTTACAGCAACAGCAACAGCAGCAACAGCAATTGCAACAACAACAGCAACAACAACAAAGTCATCAACAGTCTCAGCAACAAATGCAACAACAGCACGCGACTTTCCAGCATCTCAATGCAAAAGCCAGTTTGGCAGCTTTTTTGCAGACGCAACCGAACAATGCGACTGCTATTTTGGATTCCGCAGCACTCACGGCAATTAACAATAAGAAAAATCAAGCGAAGAATAGTACCACCGTTCAAATACCTACCGCAATAGTTTTGAACCTAGCGAAACCGGCAAAACTGAATGGATCGTTGCTCGGTGCTCTAGTCGCGCAAGCCCAAGCTCAACAACAACAGCAAACAAGCAATACAGAGGATGGTAAACCACCACCACCTCAGTACGACGAAGCAGCCAAGTTATTGAAGGTCGGTATAATTTCAAGTAATGTACATTTAATTAAAGTATTTTTTTCAATTCCTTATTTAAAATCACTTTTGCATTTAGGTCAAGATAGAGCCGGTTCAAAAGAGTCATATTAAGAGTCAAGTGGTAGACGACGTGTTGGAAATTCTTATTAAAAACGGAGAACTTCCACCAAGTGCGGCTCAGGACCCAGCTACGCCTACAACACCAAATCGTCAGTTACAACAGAATTTGGTGTTTACCGCGCCAGCAGACAGTCCAACCCAATCTTTAGTATTCGCGGCCGCTAGTCCTATTAGTCCGATTAGCCCAATGGCAATGGAGGTATCTCAAAGTGGTTGTCCTAGTCCATCGACGTCGACATCGGCATCGGCATCTGCCTCGGCTGCGGGATCGGTTGCAGCGCCCCCACCTCCTCCACCGTTACCATTGGCAACCTTTTCTATTCAATTACCCACTGCCTTGCAGCAATTACAACAACAGCAAGAAGATATGTCCTCGTTCGGAACGCATCTTTTGAATTCAGATAACGACTTGGAAACCGCCATGCTACTGAGTCCTCAATCTGTGAACGAAGCCTCACCCGATCCTCAACCACCGCAAGAGGTCACTTCATCGGATAACGCTAACTTGGATCTTAAAGTAGGTTGCGTTCAAAGTCATATTTTTACTTAATATTTCAAAATTATTTAAACTAAAAAAATCGATTATCGTTATTGCTTGATAGGAACTTGGATTGGATCTGGAAACATTGGGTACGATGGATTTTGGTCAACTCGACTGTGGTCTAGGAGTGAAAATGGAAACTACCAACGAACTTATGGATATAGGGGACATGCCAATGGACATGGATGACCCTGACTGGTTGGACTCCTTGATGCCACAGTCTCCGCCTTCTTCTACACCTATGTCCATTCAACAATCGGTTCAACCGGTTACATCGTTATCCTCGGCAACGGATATCTACGATCCGCTGCTGGCAAGTAGTCAAGATCCTTTCGATCTCTTTAACATGGAAGACTCCGACTTCAAGATGTCATCCGAACTCTCCCTAACGTGGGACAAGGTAGACTTTGCTACCTAGCCCGAGATTTATTCTCAAAACTCAACTTTGTGTACTTAAACGTTAACGAACAAGAGAGACACGGACTACTACATTATTACTACTACTACTACTATTACTACTACTACTACTACTACAACTACTACTACTACAACTACTACTACTACTACTACTACTACTACTACTACTACTACTACTACTACTACTACTACTACTACTACTACTACTAATCCTTGGCACCACGTACGTTGCTTTTGGACACGAGTGTTTAATACGAATAAACGTATAATTAATCATCGTGCAAAAATTGTACCAAGTGTAGGTGCCGTCGGTATTCGTTTTGGATGCAATAATCATCATTGGCCGAACAACGAGCCCCAGACTTTGTCAACAAGCTCGAATGCTTCGTGCCAAAGAACTTCTATATCTGATCGTAAGGAAAAGTGAACGATTCCAAGTGAATTTATCATGAATCGGAAGTCGAAAGAAGCATATCTTAGGTAAGCGATCATCGAAGGCTAGAGAAGAATTTTTTTTTTCCTACAACGTGTGCACTCTTGGTCTTCTTTGGTCGTTTGAAAAGAATATAACGAAACGTAAACAAATAAAAAATATGTCAACGCACATAATCGTTGTTCTTCCAAAAGATATCACGAATCCTATCGTTGTATAGTGATCGCTAAAATAAACCGCCTAATAGCAAGTTAGTTAGAATTCCTCTATCTAACCGAATGCGGTTTCATAATTTCAAAATGATATCGGATCTCTAAATACGAGCAGTTAAACGTGCTCTAAAACGAGAAGTTAAGGGCAACGAGAAACAAATCTTTTCAAAATTCTCCAAAGAGTCTTCTTACGACGTTTTTAGATATGTAGTTCGTACTCTATCCAGTCTACGGATCGTGTGTTGCTTGAGTTTTAATAATCGCAAATTAGCGTGTGTGCAAAACATAAACAAACAAAAAAAGTATACAGAAGAAACGAGAAGTACTGTTCATACGTTCTTCTCGTTTTAATACTCTTTCCCTGAACCCTACCCTCTCTCTTTATATATATACATATATATAAAACAGAAACCGTAATCAATCGTAACAAAACTGCATAATTACATTTACGAAAATTTAATATAATTAAAAAAAAGAATAATTGTAAAGGTATACATACGTTAGATAGATACTTATATATGTAAATTATATCATCTTATATACATATTTATATATATATATATAAATATAATTATATTATATATATATATATATATATATATGTATGCACGCCTTAGTCTAAAAGTTGAACTTGTTTTTTTTCTTTTTTTTTTCTTTTCTTGGAAAAGCTCGAATCGATCGACTTTTAACGGCGTAATTGCGATATTTTCTAAGCCAGAGCATGTGATGTTAGAAGGTACATATACTTTAATCTATAATATTATATATGTGGAAAGTACGAATTGCTTTGTAGTAGCAAAGGACATGGTCTCGTTACCGAGGTCGCGGCTTGGCGCGATTCCTTCAGCTTTTTTTCCCAGATAATGTTTCTCTCGCTTTTTATTTTACTTTTTATTTTTTTTAATTCCTTTTTTATCTGTCTCTGTCTCTTTCTCTCTCTCTCTTTCTCTTTCTTTCTCTCTCTCTCTCTCTCTCTTTCTTTCTCTCTCTCTCTCTCTCTCTTTGATTGTTCTTGTTTTATGACATTCCATGTTTCTGAACTCATGACAAACTAGAATGAGATTTCAAACCCAAAGCTACCGACCGCTCGTATACCAGCTCTGGGAATTTCGGTTGGCTCGTTAAAAATCTATGGTGTTTTCATAAAAAAGAAAAAAAAAAAAAGAATCAAAATCAGGTTACAGATGGTAGACTCTGATAATAGGTGCAGCAGGTTGTTCAGTCAAGAGGTTCATTTAGTCGCATCAATGATGTTTTCTGATTCCAAATATATATGATCTCTGCTTGTGCTAATTAATTTCACATCTTACACTATATCATGAAATTTCTTTTCAATTCCGCTTTTAGCTTTCTCGCGTCGTTTCAATTTTTTTCACAATAGTTATGGAAATTAGATGCATCTACTTTTTCATTGTATAAAAATAACAAACCATTACTATTATTATTATTATTATTACTATTATTATTATTATTGTAATTATTATTGTTATTATTATTATTATTATTATTATTATTACAATTAAT